GCTGCTGTGTTTGGTGGAGACAATGCTTGGACTTTTTGAGCCCTTCTACAACAGGCTCTTTGTTTTGTCTGTAAAAGCTTAACGAGCCACTGTTTTAGCTGAACAGATCGTTTCTGCTCCGCTGAGTCGCTGCTGCTTCCTGAGACTAACAGCAGCTTGGTCATTAAAGAAGTCAGCAAAGTGGAAGTGCTCAGCCCTTTCTGGATCATATAGCGGGGGGAGGACTCTCTTCCCTCATGACCTTTTCCAAGCCATGTTTGTTCTTTCTTTTGTTTCTTTAAATTACTTCCTAGTCTCTTACCTTTTTAAAGTTCCCTCCTTCTGTTTCTCCCTAAATCAGCCCCTCTCATGCCCTCTAGCTAAACAAACAGGGTGGCTGCTGGATCTCTGCTGGTCTACTACTGGTCTTAACTGGCCTACTGTAGTCATCAGCTGGATTTCATCATCTATACTGGTCTTTCAAAATCCCAGCTGATCACTGATGGTCTAGTCTTTCATGAGCTAGTCTATGGTCTCTCATCTTGTAAGATCACAACAATTAACCTTTGTTAGTCTGAGCTGGTTTTTGGTACTTTACCATAAGTACTAGATGCCACATGAGCCACTTCTGTCTAGTATGGTGACACTTAACCGCGGCCGCCACATTGACAGGGGTGAGGCCTAATGCATGTCTGTGTATAAGGGCAGGGGGTCGAGCCACACTAGAACCACCAAAAGTTAAAAGATGAAATGCATATCTTGGCAGGCTATACGTTTCTCTTTTAGTTATATTTCTAGTGAAATGTTCATTTTTTTCCTCATGTATAAACTTTATTTACATACAATACTTATACATGTATGGAATGGAAGGGCTGTGCAGTTCAACTGTTCTATATTCTGATGAACCAGTCTCACAGCTGTTTGCAACTGCATCTACAAATGACTCAGAGGTGCATTTAACTGTGCACGGTCTGGAAACAAACTGATGGGATCACGCCTTCGTCTGTCCAGATGCGGAAACTAGTGTACACACACACACACACACACACACACCTATATATTTCAGGGATGGGACGATATGACTTTTCCTTAATACGACTTGATGCACTATATTCAGTGTACAGTTCGATTCAGTCACAATGCAATTAAAAATTCAGTGACAGTGTAGAACTAGCTACTTGTATACTGCTCAAAAAAATAAAGGGAACACAACATAGTTGAATGTCTTATTTTTTAACCCCCCCTTCCAGCACTGGTTTGATTCTGTAAAGAACAAACATCCTGACTTACATTCAGTTTTACCATCTTATTAACAAAACGTATTAAGGCTCTGGTGGGACCACACCATACATATCGCTAAACAAAATGATGCGCGTTGTGACATTTTTGTATTGTTCTATTATTTTATATTGTCCCATCCCTAACATTCTGTATATCTATGGGTACTTTATTATGATCTAAGACACTTTGGTCTAATGTTTTTATGATAGGTTTAATGGTTTTAAGGTTGTTTTTCATGATCTACTGTAAGCTTGTCTGATCCAAGATGGTTTTTGGTCCAAGATGATCTTCACTGGTCCACAATGGTGTTTGATGGGTCTTTAATAATCACAACTGGCTCGCCAGCTACAGTAGTTCACCAGCTGGCCACGCAGGTTGTTTCTACATCACCACGCTTGTACCTCACCTTAAGACTACATAAAGACCAGCTGCTCCATCATAAACCAGTTCAGACCATTAAATGTCCTTCTTACTCCAGGAGGTGGAGCTGTACAAGTCCAGCCAGCAGGAGAAGTTGGGACTGACCGTCTGCTACAGGACGGATGATGAACAGGATCTGGGGATTTATGTTGGAGAGGTGATGACAAGAATAACTCATTTAGCCTTTTTTTACTTTCTCCAGACATTAATTTAACCTCCAGGTGGCTCAATAATCAGTGAATTCAGTTTGTTTGTAAAAAGCAAAATGCTCTGAGTAATGATAACACATAGATGTTACTACTTCTATTTCTTATTCATTCTGTTAATCACTCTTCTTATTCATCCACCCTTTTCTTATCTATTACCTTCATTAATCACATCTTCCATCCAACCAATTACTCCCTCTCTCTCCAGTCATTCAGCCTTCTTGCACTGATTTACTCGCTCATGTATGCATTTAGTCACCATTAATCAATCTGTTCCTTAATTTATTTAACCCTCTGTTCTTTGTTTATACAGTATTTCTCTTTCTCTCCCCATCACTTCAGGTCAACCCAAACAGCATAGCAGCCAAGAATGGACGCATCAGAGAGGGCGACCGAATACTACAGGTACTCAGGCATTAGTTTGGGCTCTCTATTGGTGGTTCTGTTTTTATAGTGAACCATCCTAAACTGTCAAAAATCAAACACACAAAATGATTATAAAGTAACCAGACATTTCATGTTCCTGTATCAGATTAACGGAGTTGATATTCAGAACCGTGAGGAAGCAGTGGCCATTTTGACCAGAGAGGACAGCATCAACTTCTCCCTGTTGCTGGCCAGGCCTGAAATAGAGGTGACATCACATGACCCAACACAATTAAACCACTGTCCCAAATCAATGTCCAGGCCTCACAGACTACAGGTAACCACAGTAACAAAAGTTAACCCTCACTGGTAACACTAATACCTCTGTCATATAAGAACATGTACAGTGAGCCGCAGATCGTCTACAGGGTTTCAATAGCGTTCAGTAGTCTTCATATACATAGTTAGTGGAATAGGGTTAATATACTACAAATAATGAAAATGCTTCAGGCTTGGTACTAATGGATCTTTGGACTTGACATGCTTGATTACTAGACAGGTGGAATAACTGGCTTGCATAGTACTAAACTATTTTGAATGCGAGGTTCCCCAAAGCTCCATTCTTGGACCTCTTCTGTTCAGCATCTACAAGCTTCCACAAACTCGGATTATGGTGAAAAACAAAATGTGACCATAATTATGCAGATGATAAATTATATAACAATGTCATCAGGCAGTAACGGTCCCATAGGAGCACTGAGTGATGAAAGTTAAAAAACAAAACAACACACACACACACACACACACACACACACACAAAATACAAGCAATAGTTTTTGGACCTAAATAAGAGCAATTAGATACTGGAGGTGAGTGACTTTTAAAGTTAAACACCACAGAACAAGTCAGAATCTTGGTGTAGTCATGGACCAAGACTTAGATTTTAATATCTACACTGAGAAATTGATTTTATTATGATATGAAACAATAGGTCTTCACATCTGAATATGTGCAGTCACTCAATATTTAGGATTGCCTGCTAGATTATAAATAAATTGATAATAGTTTGTCATTTTTGTCAGTTGAATTAATATATAACACTCACCATTAGTTTAAACTGAGGGAATCCCTTTCTTTGAGCTACTTTCTTCTCATGTCACTGCTGATGTATGGCCAGGGAGAGAGTCATAGAAAAACCCACTTGATTCATAGTATAACCTCAGGTCTGGTTTCTTCCAGAAGGGATGTCACGAGTGCACCGACTTCTGGCCTTTTTATTGTTTATTTGTCCATCTCTCTGTGACCAACATACATGAATAACTAACAGTTATTCATGACATTCATAGTACTAAACTATTTTGAATGCGAGGTTCCCCAAAGCTCCATTCTTGGACATTTCCAAGAATGACATTTCCTCTGACAGACTTCCATCCATCCATCCATTTTCTAAACCGCTTAGTCCCAAACGGGGTCACGGGGGGCTGGAGCCAATCCCAGCCAGCTGCAGGTGAGAGGCGGGGGACACCCTGGACAGGTCGCCAGCCTATCGCAGGGCTAACACACAGACAAACAACCACTCCTACGGGCAATTTAGAGACACCAATGTCTTTGGACTGTGGGAGGAAGCCAGAGCACCCGGAGAGAACCCACACAAGCACAGGGAAAACATGCAAACTCCACACGGAAAGGCCGAACCCAGAACCCAGAACCTGCTCGCTGTGAGGCAACAGCGCTAACCACCGTGCTGCCCTCTGACAGACTTATCAGCCCAAATTTAACTTTTTCAAATATCAGTCAGATAACTTGGTATTTCTAAAATTTTGGTCATGGCTCTAAGGAAAGGGTCGGCATGTAACACTAGATGGAAATCCTGAATGAGAGACAGATATTAACAGAATGAAGCCAAAGATGTCTGTTTTCTGCTGGACAGGTAATTTAGCCTAATAAGTAAAGTCTAAATGCAAGTTTTAGTTTGATGGCTTTTGCTAGAACTTGGGCAGAGCGGGGTAACCCACTGTGGTCAAGTCAGCTGCACTTGTTTTCTGATTCCAATGAGAGCTTTGCTGAGGGCTGTAACCTGCCGCTTCACCACTAGATGTCACTAAATCGCTCACACTGCACCTTTAAAAATTGTGTTTTAGGAAACATGATATACTCTCTAGCTTTACACATCAAGCACCAGCCTCTGCAATCATGAACTTTCATCTTGCACAGTGGCAGCCTCCCACTATTCTAAACCAGTCAGTCTAACCAGCATCTAGTCAATTCACTAAACCATCATAACACAAATAAAGTTTCATCACCAAACACATCACTGCAGTGGCTTTTTCACAAGCTGAAACCAGCTTCAGTTTGTTTTCACAATCAGTCTCTGTCCTCGCATCACGCACCACATATAGTATGTGTACGTGCACTCTGTGCGTTATTACACTCGGAGCCATGATAAATGGTTCTAGTATGACAGCAGGTCCCAGAGTGGGTGTCCACATCTGCTGACACAGGAGAAACTGTGCCACGGTATAGTCACACATGTCAGGTAAAACACACTCACTCATGCATATTCACTGATGAATGTGCACTGTGCGTGCACACTGGCACATCAACCAAATGAATGGGCCAGTCTGTCAGAATTCAGACAACTCTGACACTTTAGGCAGTCAGATCGAGCAGGAAGGAGAGAACAGCAGATGATGGATGTTCTCTTGACTAAGAAAATAACAAATTAGGAGGTGATGGGGGAACAGCTACAATGAGGGAGACGGAGCAGAAACACCCAGGATAGTGGCTGGTAAATGTGTGCTATTGTTTTCCCCCCACGTTTAGTGACACATCGGTCTGTCTAACAGCAGATTAAGGTCTTTGGACAGCTGCTGCCCAGATTTATCATGAAATATACTGACCCCAATCCTGTTTTGAGTTTAATGTCTCAGAACAATAATGTTAATGAGAGTGAACATGAATTACTGACCTTAAAAAGTGTAAACAAATATAGTAAAATACCCAGTAAAATGAAACTGAACCTAGGTACACAACTGCAGGATTATTAATATTGGCTGGTGGTGTTATATTTTAAACTAGCTTTTGATTTTGGGCAACTGACATAATTTTATTAAGAAAAAACATGATGTATGTTGCTGTCCAGTGAAGACAGAGGGGAAGGTATCAGAGGATGAAATGATGAAGGGATGATGGATGAGGAGAGGAAAATGGAGCAGCACATTTATCCCATGTGACCTGATTTTTCTGTCAAGGTCACACACACACATACACACAAGAAGATGGTTTCATGTAGCTTCATACACAGCTCCAACACAAACTGCGATATTTTACAGTAGATCATTAAAAAATAAACAGTTGGTCCATCTCTCAGTGCAGCCCAGTGGCTCCAACTGTAGACATACATCTTGAAAACACAACTTTATTTATACACCTCAAAAATATACATTTTTAAAAAAGCAGCTCAGTGATTTCCTAAAATAGCTGGTCACTGTAAGAAATAATTTTTTTCAGGGGACTATTTTCTGCAGCGGATGAATCTACATTTGGTCTCCAGTGAGTATTTGTGACAGCAGGACAAACAATAGTGCATGTGCATGGTGATGAAAGAAGAGGTCACCCAGTGCAACACTGTGGCTCACTGGTGTGTGTAAATAGCTCTTATTACAACTAAGGAGCTCTGTGTTGAGAAAATGTAAAATATCAGTTTTAATGAAATCTTAACTCTTTGAAGCTGTGACACAACACATCCTCATTTAACATCAGAAGTACAAGAGCGCAAACATGGATACTGACTAATACCTACATACACAGATGTTGTAGAAAGCAACACAGTGCTGACAACATTATTTCCAAGTCAACAAGGAAATGCTGATGCATGAAACTGTAAACGAGAAGCCACTTTGTAGTGTCAATAAAAGACATTAAGGATGGAGAATTTAATACAGAGGTATCTTGTGTCAGTAACAACAAAAGTGCTAGAGTCGCTCATATTAAAAACCGTCCTATTGACGCACAGAATAGAGCTGGCAGATTTTTCTGCTGTTCTTCATCACAGTATTAGAAAAGTTAAAGTCAAGTCTCTACAGTCACTGATGTGGCTGCATTTTTCAATAAGGCATCAGTGAGCTGAGACAGCAGCTACAGGATGTGTCAGCCTATCAACAACACTGACACACAACATTCTTTAGAAGTAAATCAAGAAAGTACCTGGTGCACAGGCAATATTCTGAAAATCAACACCTTGGCCTCTTTAGTTTCCTTTATATTGTCACATAAATTAAACATCAATGTTCTGCTCATCTTTCCAGAACGACATCCCTGCTGATCCAGAGGAGGACATGGAGCTGACACTGGAGGAAGGAGGCTTCTGCTCAAACCCCCGAGCCTCTACCTGCTCCCTCAGCTCCCCTCACCTTTCTGGCTACTACCGACTGCGTTGGGGAGGAGGAGGCAGAGAAGGTGCAGGGGGTGACGTAGAAGAGGACGAGGATGGAGAACAAGGAGGGAAGGGGGACAGAAACCCACCCGTCCCCCTCCCTCCTCTGCTGAGCCTCGCTCCACTGTTGTCCAACAGCCAGGAGCTGGACAGCGGAGTGGGCCGGACCGACGACAGCACCCGGTGCGAGGAGTCGTCAGAACACGACCTACTGGGTGATCAGACTAGCGCCTGTAACACCAACACCACCAACACACCAGGAAGCACCAGGAAGTTCAGACCAGGACCCAGCCCCAGGTAGGACAGGTGATTTAGTGTCTGTACTAAATGTGTCAAACCCAGGAGCGTCAGTCCTTGAGTGTCTGAGGAAAACTCTTTTGCCAAATTTTCATTATAATTTAAACTGACATACATGTAAACCATGAGGACAGGAACAAATAGCAGGAGGAACTTTCAGAGCAGTATTCAATACTTTCATTTTTTAGTGTATCACAGTAAATCTCTCCTTGTTGTCTGTCTGCAGGTCCAGTCCCAGACCGAGCCCCGGCCTCGGCCCAAGTCCCAGGCCGAGCCCCAGCCCTGGCCAAGGACGAGGAGACACCACTCCTCCTTTCCTCCACCTGCGAGATCTCCAGCTCAGCTCAGACTCGCTCCCTGGCCTGGACTGGGGAGGAGCAGGAGCAACGTATAGCCCCCACCACCACCACCACCATCACAAGGTACAGCAGGAGGTGAAATGAGAAGTCTGCTGATATTTTACATTTCACTTAATGTCATCAAATGTTAGTTAAATTGAGTATTTACACTTAAATGCTTTATACTTCTACTCCAAAACTTTTAAAAAGAAAAATTGTGTACTATTTCGTGCACTACATTTTTGTATTAGAGAATTGCAAATGACGACCTTACTGTTGTGACACACACACCCTGTGTGTGTCACAGCCTGATCTCTCTCGTCCCTCCACTGGGACCAGAAACCATTAAACCCCTCAGTGTCCACACTGTCCCTTCATCTCCACGATCACACACTGTAGTTTGTTCTGGCTCAGTCCCACACACACTGTCCTGCTACCACAAACACTCACTACAGACTGAATGTGGATTCAGCCGCCACTGAAAATAGTCCCCAACAAATGCACCATTTCCTCCTGTTGTTTGATTAAAAATTACATAATGAAGAAAAAAAAACTATTTTGATGAAAAGGAAGAATATTCTCCCTCTTTTCACCACAGATAGTTTTTTGAACAAATACTGTGACAAAACTAAATAGAGAGTTATTCTCATACTAATTATGATGCCAAAAATATTTTTCATTTTAGGCCGCAGCTTAGATCGTTTCTGTAAAATGAATTATCTTGCCGGTGTGTCCATATGAATGCTCTTTCCATAAATATCCTCAGAGTATAAACAACCATCCTTTGAATATTGTGAAATGATACAAGTGTCAAGAAAGTACTAAGGTTTCAAGAAGCTAGACCAGAGTTCCAAGACCTGATGTTGGCTGCTAACTGACGGCTAACTACTCTCTGACCTGCAGCACTACCATCACCATCACCACCAGCCCCATCTGACAATGATGATGATGCCAGGCCTGACGGAGGAAGAGTGCCAGCGATACCAGGAGCTGCTGGAGATAAAGTGCCAGTATGAAAAGCAGCAGAGAGAGGCAGTGAAAACTGACTGTGAATGCACCAAAGCAGAAGAGCCAGACCAAGATGAGAGAAAAGAGCCAGAAAAAGAAGAAGCAGCTGCTTCTTCTGTGGTGGTGGACTTGAACTGCAATGAGACTTTAAGTGAGCATGAGATGGCGCTCATTGAGGAGGAGTTGCGGCACCTGGAGTTTAAGTGCCGCAACATTCTCCGTGCCCAAAAGATGCAGCAGCTCAGAGAGAGATGTCTGAAAGCCTGGATGATGGAGGAGGAGGCCGTGGCAGCTGGAGCAGGTAACCATGACAACTGGCATCCTTTAGGTTTCATGGAAATGTTCATTATTAACTGACAGAAGTGTTTTAAAATTTTTAATGAAGACATCCCACCCCCTGCTTATGACTAGTTGGGATTCTCTGTCTGGTTGTCACCATGAGGTTGGACAGACAATCAGGGAAGAGTCCAATTAGTCCCGCTTCCTAATTCTAAATACAATCTGCTATCTGGTTGCTGTACAGGTGCTAATCTAGAAAATCCTATCTTGTAGGTATGGGTGATGACGATGAGGACAATGATGACCCTCACCATCACGAGCTGTCCGCCATCAACGAGCTCCCGGAGCGAGAACGATCGGACGACAAAGACAGCACCAGTGCCTACAACACAGGAGGGGAGAGCTGCCGGAGCACACCATTGGTCAGCACTGAGCAGATCCCACCTCTCCACAAAGAGGAGGAGGAAGGAGACAGACAACGGGTGTCTTCGCCTCCTCTCCTCCCAATCAGTCGCCTTCCACCTTTGCACTCCCCCCTCTCCCCACGGCGTCACGGGCGAGACCAAGAGAGATGCCGCCTCAGCTGCTCTTTCTCCCCGAGCACATACAGGAAGTATGAATTGGCCAATGGCAACATGGCAGACGGCTCAAGCTCCACCCCCTCCACACCGTCTAAGTTCAGGTCTGTACTACTATTAACACATCTTGGTAGTTTAACCTTTGTAAAACTGCATGTGTATCTTTGTTTTTACATTTAAATACCAGGAGCTGTGATGCTCTATTTGTTGCCATCCTCAGGTCTCTGACCAGAGAGGCAGGGTTGTCTTCAAGAAGGGGTGTGGCCGATGGAGGGCGGGGCTCCAGAGCAGGTACACAATCTGTACTGCCCCAGCTTGTTAACCATACAGAAACCCTTCCCTTCTCTTAGGTTTCACTAACAAACCCAGGTCTGGTTGCTCATGAGGAGACAGTTCCATGCAAAAGTTCCTCAGTAGTGTGGCTGCCTGCAACACAACAGTTAACAGCCATAAAAACTCCACTGGACAGCAACAAACACAAGTCTTTCAGGAGTTCCAACATCTGTATTATGTGTGTCTTCATTCTCTCCATCAAACAAATCCAAACTCAGACAGCAGCAGGAAGAAGGTACAAACCGAGCACCTAAAAGCACAGCCTGCTCTTTGTAGCAGCAACACTACACCTTGGTCTGAGATCAGTCAGACAACAGCCAATGATATCCTGTAGTTTCTATTGGCCAGATCTGCACTCACACAAACAAGCCAGTGAACCTTAAATGTGATTTTCTTGGTTTATTTACTATCTCTATTCATTATCAGCTACCGACAGGTCCGGAGGAAGAAGTGCAGAGTCCAGTCCCTACTTCACCAGGAGACACCAGAGCCACAACAGACCATTAGAACGCTACCAGAGCTGCATGACACTGCCCTCCGAGGGTCTGGTGGACCCTCTGGACAGGATGAGAGACAGAGCGAGGGCTGAGGGTGAGGAGAGAGGGATGGCCACAGGAAGCAGTGCCCCAGCCAGCCCCAGGAGTGTGAACAGTGCCCCCTGTGGTATGGAGGTCCATCATACAGGCACATCGCGGTTAGGACTGGCCTTACCACTCGGTCTGACACACTCATCACTGGCTGCTTCACCACAACGCATGGAGTGGAAGGTAAATGGTGATTCTGCTCATGGAAAGTCAAAGTGCAGGGTCAAATGCAAAATCATGGTTAAAAAACAGTTGAATCAGTTGTTCATTTGGAAAATAATCAAAAAACCGATGATTTGGAACTTGATGAAAAGAAGGCCTGAGTAACACGTCAACATTCTGTGGAACTGAATAGTTCAGATATGATCTGTTTTTATTTTTAACAATTTGTCCAAATTAATGATCAGTGAAGCAAATTCTATTAAAGTTTAACTTCTTAGTGTTCCTTCCACGTGTATGTATTTTGTGAGAAACAATTGGTGCACATCTGTTTCAGTATTTTCTATGTTATCTATTGTGATGTGTGGATATCAGATTAAATCCAGTTTCAAGAACAAAGCACCTAAAGCTGTAAGAGGTGTAAATGTCTTTTTCTAGCAGGACTACAGACACGATTCTGGGCAACTTCTTTGTCCTGTTTGTGTCCAGGTGAAGATTCGGAGCGATGGAACCCGCTATGTGGCCAAGCGGCCAGTCAGAGATCGTCTTCTTAAGGCCAGAGCCATGAAGATCAGGGAGGAACGCAGCGGGATGACGACCGACGATGACGCAGCCAGCGAGATGAAGCAGGTACAGTAACCACAGCTATGAGCAAGCAGGAAGCTGGATGAAGGTTAACTACAGCAAAGCTACACGAAGGAGAGAAGAAGTTTAACTGAAGCTGCTAAGAGAAACTAGTTCTCACTACCCTGTAAAAAAAAAGATCAAATTGACAATGTACATGTGATACAACACAACAAAAGAAACACAGAAAAGTCACGACAGCAAAAAACCGAACCTGAACATGTCCTAAATAAAACACTCCCCTCTGGGTGAGTCACATTATATTTGTTATAGACAAATCGACTGTGTATTTTCTGGCTACAACTGAAACAGTAATGAGAAAAATATTTAACTTGCACCTTTTCAGACTGTTTGACCGACTTGAACACTGGCCTAAAAATGTCCCTGACGTCCTACTGGTCAGTTTTGTAACATCTTTAACTTTCCCTGTTTAGACAGTATGAACAGCTCGAACACTAAGTAACAGTCTTGTCTTTTTACTGGTCAGAGCAGAATCTCTTGTTTATACGACACGTGAGCCGTGTCCAAAAGTTCTTATCCAACAGCTGGTTCTGTCCGATGCTGGAAGCTGCTGACATGCAGCAGGATAACGTAGAAATAAAAAATGGCAAAAAAGTATCTTAACTATTCAAATCACTAAACAGATATTAAGGTAGCGTAACTACCAGCAAAGTACTGGGCACACAGTGGGAGATGCTGCTCAATAAACCATGTACAACTGGTTTCCAACAGGGCCGATACTGGAGCAAAGGGGAGCGGAAGCAGCAGCTGCTGAGAGCAAGAGAGTACCGACGAAGAAGAGAGCTGATGATGCAGAGCCGCCTAGACTACCTCAGAGGAGACAGGTCGGGTTGTACCTGAGATTTATCTGTGCACTTTGGGGAACTGAGTTACATAACTGTCATCTAACTTCATCAAGTAAAAACACAGTCATTAACTGTTTTACATGTATTTTTAGATACTCCCAGTTTATAAGAACACGTTTGGCAGAGATGAATGGGTTATTTGGGTGTTTTTAAATCAGTTTCCTTGGTGCTTTGCCACAAGTTCAGGGTTTAGCCATCTCTGGGTTTACCACCACATCATGAGATCTGAACAACATCATCTTACCTTCAGCTGCTGCGCAGATACCATTCACTGGGAAAATATCCCCAAGACAGACGTTCCCTTCAGCTGAAACACAGACTAAAACATGCAGGTGTTTACTGGTGGTTGTCAGACAAGGACACTTCCTTCTTCTTCTGTTGCTTTTTCAGGTGCATCACCACCACCTTGTGAATTGGAGGTGAAACAGTATTTGTCCTAGTGTCCAACCTAAGACCTAATCAACATGATTTCAACCACCTGTGAGCTCAGTGAAAACTCTGGCAGTGGAAGGCTTAAAGGGCCCCAGATGATGAGTAGAGTGAATAACAGCAGTGCATATAATCATTTGGCTAACGTCTTATCTGAGGCTGCATGGTTAGACCTACAGCTTGTTCACTGAGTGCTGAAACTCCACTGTCAGAAAACCAAACCTGCAAGCACAGAGTTGTTTTCAGTGCATAAATATTTTACTTTATTTAAAATAATATCTGCAAGTGAGCGAGTATATTGATGCCAATAGAAATTAAGTGATTTAAATAATTAAATAGTTAAACAGAAATGAAAGTCTGCTGATTTTTATTTGTTCATGGAAGATATCAATGTAAAGACACAAGATACAGTTCATGTTTATATGAGACATTCGTGGGGCTCTGTACTAACTTTTCACAAGAGACAAAATACTTTTACAGTTTTTCATATTACAGAGAGTTAATAAAGCTTTATGGTATGTTTTGGAATAGATGGGCATTTATCTGGTTTGCCCAAGATACTATACTCATTTTGTGCACACAAGTCAAAAACATTTGCCCACAACACAGTATTAACTTGTGCAGCTAAGATCTGTATATTTGCAAACATTCACATGCACTAAATATTCCTTTGTACAGACAAAATGATACATTTCTGTTAGGTGCCGTTCACACCTGTCAGTGAGCGAACGAGAAAGAGGCGGACCCAGGTAGCTGACTTCGGTGCATGCAGTGATTTATTATATACAGTGATCAAGGGAGTGACAATACACAGAGGGAAATAGTGCGTAGTCCTGTCGATGAGTAGTAGCCGGGTGTTTGACCAACAGCAGGAGGTGAGGAGATGGAGAGCTGGGCCGAGCTGTGTAGGTGGGGTCACTCCTGGGCTGGTCGGTGGTGATGGTGGCTACTGAAGGTGGAGACAGAGAGATGATGACAATAGTAGAACAGATAGGCGACTGAGCATTGACCTGCCTGGGAGGGGAGAGTGGAGCCACGGTCTGGAGGAACAGTCCATGGGCAGAACACAAAACAGTAGCTGGCTAGGGGATAAATACATACAAAACAATGAAAATGCACGGAGAAAAAATGGCCTAGTGACTAGAAAGAACTGGCAAGTGACTGAGGAGTGAAACCGGGTAATATAGTGAGTGACCTAATCAAGTACAGCTGGTGATAAGGGAGTGAGGAACAGGTGAACGTGATAAGAGTAATTGGGCAAGAGACAGTAGGAAAGGAGAGGGAGGCCAGAGCGGCCGAGCAAACCTGACAGTTTCATCTTTCACCACTACAGGGTTTGTTGGTGTCTCTTATTGCAGCCCATGGATTAAAGCAGTGTTACCTTTTGGTTTTATTTCCAGAGACCCTGCTTTGACATCGGGCATCCCTGAAGACCACCACTCATCCTCGAGCATGCAGCTTCACCCCAGACAGGACTCACCCAGCAACAATGTCCTATTACTGAGCCAGAAGAAGATCATGAAGAAGAGGAACCGCCGCATCCTTGACAACTGGTTCACCATCCAGGAGCTGCTGGCTCATGGCTCCAGATCGCCAGATGGAAAGAAAATCTACAACCCTCTGCTTTCTGTCACCACAGTGTGATCTGAGGACAGAGAGGAGGAAGAGCACGGGGGGGGAGAAGCTGACAACACCAGCCAGGAAGTCAAAGGTCAGAGCTTCTGCTTTCTTTGAGCTGGAAGGAAGATGGAGTGGAAGTCTTAGGACATTAGGAAAGGAGAAGAGATTACATAAAACTACTGTAGAAACATTTGGTGACAAAGTTCTGCTTAAAACTGTCGTCTGAACTGTTTTCGAAAGTGTGTGCAAGTGGAGAAAAAGGAAAAGCTGCAGAAGGAGAAGCCTGAAGTTTAACAATGAACAAGTGGCAGCAAAACCAAGTAAACATGTAAAGACAAACAGCTGTATATTATCTTTGGGTTGGAAAGTTCACCCTGGGAGCAAATGACTTTTTAGGGACTGGATGTTGGAGTCAATTCCATTGCTTTCCTCTGCTGCTGGTACTGGACTGGATCCTGATCAGGCCACTGGGACTCAGAATCAACTTCTCTGATTAACAAGGACATGTCATGTCAGTTACAACATGCTTCCTCATTCCTTTCTCCTCACATTTTGTCCTTGTATCCTACCCTGGCTTGACTAAGGCACAAAAGTGAGGGAAACATGGATGCAGTTAGGGGAACTGGGCTTCACCTTAAATGTCTCATCACCGGTGAATAAAGACAGTGAATGAAAACATCAACCTGCTCATCAAACTTTGTTGTCATGTTAAAAAAAGTTTCAGAAGATTCAGAGGAAACAACTCAGTGTCTAAGTGACTTTATTCTGGGAGGATGTAAATGTACAGAAATCTGTGGTGGTCACCGTGGTGCAGAGACACATCGGCACACACAGCTGAAGACCAACGTTCAGCCAGGGTTGTTGTTGTTATTATTATTATTATTATTATTATTATATGTTAAATTGTTAATATTACATTTGTTGCTTATGGGTTTATGGCAGGATGGCCAGAGTGTGTTCGGGGCTTCAGCGACAATGACCATTTTGGAGCTGTGTAAAAAAACAGATGAAGACTGAACAATGAAATGCATGAAATACTGAATATTGTGGATTATTGGACATCATTTTTAAATCTAAACTGGTGTAGCTTAAAGCATTTTAGTAGTGAAAGATGTGAAAGTGCAGAAAAATGCTGAGCAAATAAAAGAGAGACATAAAATGCTCCCTGGTTTTTCTTTGAGCCATGTAACAAGTCTTTCAACCCTGGTTGTCTGACAGCACTCAGTCGGGACAAATAAAAACTATTAAACTCTCAGTGACAAAGTTAGTTGTGTTTTCCTACGTTTAACTGCTGCTGAGATTTGTTGTTTAAACATCTGTCTGACAGAAGGACCTCACACACACACTACAAATACATGGCTTTGTGTTACAGATGAGAGCAGGTTCATCTTAACTCAGTGTCAATTCACTTTCAATTTGCCAGAATCCTGTTCAATCAGTTTTTGACGGCACCTACCACGCAGGTTAGTGCAGTTTAAAGTGATAAGTCAGTATAACATCAGAACAAATAGGTTTTCCTCTGACATGGGAAAGTGAAACAGCGGCCGTGTGGTGACAGGCTCGCCCGGACGTTTTCATTATGATTCCAGCAATAAACAGGACTAGAACAATCATCACACTTTCATACCGTCGATGTAATGAACACCTCAGCCCCTAGGGAGCAACTAGCAGAGCTGGAGTGATTTGACTGGACAGAAGGAGAATGGAACAGAATCTGTCATCTGTCCAGCTCGTGTACCAGCACCGATCCAAACCCCTCCTCCGCCGAGCTGGTAAGTGGCTGAGTGCAGGAAACAGTGACAAGGTTCAGTCCAGTGAATAACAAGCTCGGGGAATTAGGAGGTCATCCGTGGGGTAACGGAGGAGGATGGATTCATCCGCTGCTGAAAACAGTCCCCTGAAAACTGTAATACATGAGAAGTGTTTGCTGAAGTGCGAGCTGCTGTTGTATGAAATTACAAAAGAACCCATGTGTCTGAGGTAGTTTGACACACTTTCTTTAAAGAAACCTGTTGTTGGCATCAACACAACATCTGACTCACTGCGATACACTCACCCACACACAACTTGAAGTAAAACCCCTTTTAGATCAATGAGTTCACTGCATGAGCCTGTGCAGTGGCAAACCAGTCAGGACAGGAGGGCACTTTGTGTTTCTCTTCACAGTCACTCATAAAATATCTTTACTTCACTTTAATTCATCAAATATTACATTTACAAGGAAACAGCTGCTACTATTAAGATACACAAAACTATGCACAAACTACACAAACAGCCTAAAGCGTGCAGCATTTAGTGGACAGTAGAAACGGCTGCAGCGCCCAGACAGCATGGCGCAGCAAACACAGGAAACAAAGGTGTGAGCAGGCTTCTGATTGGCTCAGGTGTGGCCTGTGGTGCCGAGCGGAGGCTCCGCCTTCCTCGGAAGGATCCGGACAGAAGGTTTTCAACACCACTAACGTATCACACCTACCTTTAACACTCTAGATAGCGTCTGTACTGAACAGGACAAGAGCTTTTTTATTAGTAGCTTGATTTTTGTTTTGTTTGTAAAATGCTGTGAAACAGTGTTTACAGTTTTATTTTGAGTTGGGCTCCCCCCACCCCGGCACACCACAACCTGGTGTCTCTTCAGGTCCATGCTGGGTGTTGCTCTGTGCATTAAAACATTTCATAAGCAATTCTCCTAAACTCTGAAAGGCACTGTTGGTCACTTACTGTAGTTCCACTGGGAGACATCACTGTAAATATGACAAGGCTGTAAAACTAGTGACCAGTGGTAAAAGAAGGAGGCAGAAGGCCCAGTTCTGGATGAAACTCGGCCATCTACAGTGAACAAATGGCTTTTTAGGGACTGGATGTTGGAGCGTTCCCTACTGTAACGGTTTATTACAGTATGTGTGCGGAGTGCATGTGAGTGTACTGTAGATCTGGGCCTGATCCCTGCTGGCTAAATCAAGGCTCTGGTAGACGGAGTCTTCACATGTGGAGACTGGAGGACATGTCTCATCTGTGGAAATCTGAAACAAAAAGCAAAATGTCACAGACGCTGTTAAGCAATGAGCCATTTAACACACACAGGTGGTCAGGAAATGAAACAAACCAAATACAAGTGGCTATAGTTATCCCCATTTTACCAACAGTGTGTCATGTTAAACTTAAATATGTTCCCCAGGGGGTGGCATCGTCCTGTGCCGGTGGTTCAGGGTGGGAGCATCACCAGTACCCTCCTGGTCCTTCGTTGTTTTAAACACCTTCATCAGTGCTTTTCTTTATGTTGAACGGGTTGTTGTGTTTAATTTAACATTTACAGACACATTGGTTGTGTTAGTTTTACATTAAAAACACGACACAAAACAAAATTAATTTTATCAGACCTTCCACCAACGAAGCCAAAAGAAAGTTTCAGTGATTTGTCAGTTACTTTGTGAAGTGTCCAGAGCCAACTTGTGTTTTTTTACCTTTTTGTCTCCGGCGTTTGGGTTTCCTCTCGTGTTCAAATCTGTGGAACACAAATATTTCAGGTCTTTATGTGAATCTGTTATAAACATGTGGACGGAGGTGGCAGGAGACTCACCAGCAGAGCTCCTCTTCATCTTCAGTTTGTAGAGCAGCAGCAGCAGAACAACAACCAACAGCAAAGCAAACACAGACGCACAAACCATCAGAATCAAGATGAAGTAACCTGTTGAACAGACACAGGAGGGGGAGGCGGGGAAAGGGAGAAGGGATTCTGATTCACTGAACTGTAGGAAACCACAAAATAAAACTTCCTGTGGGTCAGACCAGACTCCTGCTGAGTCATGCTGCTTCTTCACCCCTATGTTTAGATTACTGGTCAAGTTTGATCTTAAATCATGAAGTTTTTGCATCTTGTATGAAACCTGATGTTTTACATCAAACAAACATTGTGATATCATTTAAATGCTGCAGGTTAACATCAACTTTCTGTAAGTTTAATGTGAAATTTACTGGTCTGTGTGTTGACTGGTGTTAAAACAGAAATGACACAAGCAGCACTGTCGTGTACCTTGTTCTAGGGATCCAGGTGGCGTTTCAGGTGTGGAGCCGGTGGAGGTGGAGGTGGTGGCCACAGCTGTGAAGAGTGATGACACATCAAAACCCATCACATATCACAAAAACTGGGTTAATGTCTTTTAGACTGTAACGTTACATTAAACATAAAACTCTTCACCAACATAAACAGATATGAACTTTAAAAGGAAGAAACAGAAAGTTTAATCCTGGAATAAGTGAGTTAGTGAAGCTGCAGACATGTTAGTTTGTTTTGTAAATCTGTACTCGTTTTTGTTTACATTTCAGAAATTGTAGTTGTGCTGTTTTCTCTTCCTGTGCAGAGAAATGATTAGAAATTGAACTCAACATTAACTTTGCCTTAAACTTAAATGTAATCCTGCTAAAATAAAAAGATGTTTCCACTGATAATATTATCATGTATTAGAAAAATAAACTGTTTGTTCATGAATCTTATCTGTAAATAATGTAGGTCATTTGTCATTACATGCAGAGAAAAATAACAAAACTTATTTTGAGTTCACTTTAAAGCTGGTACAGACAGAACTGACAGGGACCAACAAACACACTGATCAGGTT